GTACTTCCGGAGTCTGTCTTCGTCAGATGCTAGTGCTAGGCATGGACTATACTGGGCAGTGCAATTCTAGGGAACAAGGCTTGGCCAGAATATGAAATACTGCCTGGAAAGTGACAGGAATAAGGCAAGACCTCAGAGTATAAAGGGTGGAGAGTGTAGACATTCTCAGGGGATGGTCCTCTGTCCTTTGTAGGGCTAGAGTAGCCTCCCAACTGCAGTAAATCTCTGCTGTGCTATTGAGTATTTGAAGACCTGATATCATCACAGAGGACCAAACACATCCATTCCTCCCAATCCTAAATTTTGTGGGAATACAATTCTCTGGGATTAAAGAGAAACTTCAGAGTCCTTTCTAGAGCCCTTATCCATTTGCTTAAGAGGCATGGTAGTGAATAATATCTAGGGGAAAAAAGGCTTGTGGTATAACCCTCATCGCATTACAGATCTGGGAAATAGAATCAAATACCCACTCTTTCCAGTCCTAGAACAGGATATCCAGAAACTCTGCAATGGCAACCACAAAAAGTATCCTTTTCCCTGGAAAGAAATGAGCAGTACAAGTTACCAGGCCAAACCCCTGGGCCCAAGGCTATCAGGAAGAACTTGCCTCTTCCCCAAACTGTACAGTAGGGAATTGACCCTGGAAGGGACTCCGAAGGAAGTGCAAGACTCCCTGCAGCACAAGAGGGAGATAGCAGAGGCCCTGGTCTCTCTTTGGTGCTCCCAGGAAGTAAACACTCGATGGTACAATTTGTATGAAGAGAAAATTACCTCTAATTGGAAGTTGCGATAAAAATATCTCCAATCTGTAAACAAAGTAGTTGGAGCATCCCAGAGGCACACAACTTGAGCTGCAGAGCTGCAGATACGCTGTCTGCCCACTCTTAGGAGCTGCCCCACCCCTGCCCCTGAATCTGCTCTTTAGCCTGGCTCCAGGATAGTCCTGATAGCATATGTGTCCTTTGTGCTCATTCGTGTCTCCAGTCCTGAAGCACAGATGAGGAAACATATCCCATCTTCCCCCGCTGGCCAGTGGAAATATTCATCAAGTCAAGTAGAGGAAAGAGCTTGTTTGTTTTATCTCATCACACGTGCCCTTCCTGAAGGTGGTCTGGGGAGTGTTGTTTGCTCACTGTCCCTAACACCTTTTCCCTGGTGTCTGGAGGGAGCATACAGGCAAATCCTGCTTCTCTACTTCCTCAGAGAAGGAACTGAGGCAGACTCCTTAACAGGGGAACTTGGGATTCACAGTTCTTAGAGCCTTCAGCCTCAGAGCAGCAAATCCTGTGTCAGGGCTCTGTTGTGGTCATGAAATTGTCCATTCAGTCTTGGTTGTTGTGTTGCATTTCCAGGTGCACCGGTGAGTAAAGATCCTGGCCGATGGTGACGGGACCCTCCAACTCCTCCCCTAGCAGAAGTGAGTGAGTCTTTCACCCATGACATGTATGATATACTTATTTAAATACCACCATGCACAAACACACAATAACACCCTCTAGCACATGAACACCAGCCTCCTTTTGGTGAAATATGAAAGGGCTGCTAAACAGCTGCTTATAAAGGTTTCTCTCTAGGAAGACACTTTAAGCCAAAACATTGGCATTTATATCACCTTCCTCAACTGAACTACTACGAAGGAGAGGACCATGCAAATAAACTGAACTGCACAACTTTCCTTCCTTATATAGCATGAGCAGCACATCTAGTTAGAGGGGATGGAGGTTTTCCTTCCTATTGTTTCCTTAGATTGGGGGGAGGGGTAGAAATCCTCCTATTTAAATGAACTTGAAGAGATATTTTGAAGAGAAGGAGCAGGGCCTGATAGTTGGGAGAAAATGTGAGAGAACAGAGTTGGAAATATTTCAAGGAAGAGGAAACCTGAATAGAGACGAGATGGAGCAACAGAATCTTTGCTAAGCCCTGAAGAGGAATGCTTTTACAGAATGAATCTAGGGTCAGAGACCTCCCTCAGTCAATGGATCTCACTTCTCTCTTGCTGTGAGGGTTGACTTCAGGTGATTGTTCAGGTGGATCATGGCATACTGAAGGAACAGAAGCCCTAGTCATGTTACTTTCTAAGAATATAATCACACCAAGAGAACAAACACACATTGATGTAAAACTTCCACTTTGCTTCTCATTCTCTCTAACCCATCTACAGGCTGAAGGTCTTTTTCTTTATTAAGACTCTCCAGGAATATTGTATCATTTGGCCCAATCTGAGCCAAAAGAGTAGGAAAGGGAAGGGGCACAGACCACAAACATCTATTGAGCACCTAGTATGTTCCAGACCTTTATTTCACACAATCCTCACAATGACCACTTCAGGTGGGTATTGTTATCCCTGTTTTACAGACAAAGAACCCAAGGCTTAGGGAAATTAAATAACTTTCTCAAGTTTACAAAAACCAAGAACTTGAATCATTGTCCATTAGACTCCAGAGCTTATACTTCCCCTCCTGTAATTGCTGCTTCCAGGACCTCTCCTTTCTGTTCAGGGGTGACTCTCACAGGAAAACCCTACTCTTTGCTACTTGATTTACACTTTGCAAATGCTTTTGTTCAAGTTTAGCACATGTGTATTTAGTTCCCTGAGTGCTTCTAAAAAATGTATCTCTCCTTAGTAAATCACACATTAGAAATAAGCATATTCAGTTGGATAATGTGGTGATAGAAGCATAGATTCCACAGCCCCACTCACTGAATGCTTCCAGAACTCTGGTTCCCTTCCGAACAGGGCCAGAGCTCTCCTGGGAACAATTAAATCGTATGGAGAAGCAGATCATTTCACAGTCAAGTACATCCTACCCTGTCCTAGTGCATCACTAGTTAGGCTCCATTCCAGGATTGTGTCTCAACCACCGGCCATAACATGCAGACTCCATCTGTGGAGGAAAATCAATGTTTTACCATGAAGCACCTGCATCTGCTCTCATAGGAACCTCTGTTCCATATAGAATATTCATGGAGCCTTTCTCTCTGGCTGTCTGTCAAACTCTGTCTTCTGAGTTTGAAAAGATTCCCTAACAGAGAAGACCATTTAATATAATCATATCACAGTGCAAACACAGGAAACACAGCAGGAGAAAAGAGGCACTAGTTTTTGAAAACTACTCCATCCATAGTCGGACACTTCATATTTCTCAGGTAACCAAAATGATTCCTTCATTTAGGCAAATATGCCTGGCTATATATCCAGGAACTAAAGGGAATGATAAAGAAAAGAGAAAGCAAAAGGAAAAAAGTCAGTGGGCCTAAGAAGAATTTTCCTCTTTTTAATTGCTGTAAGTTGTGTTTGATGAAGGGAGAAAGGCTGCCACTCTAATATAATTTTCAGATACTTTTACTTGTGACTGAAATATGGTGAACTAGAACAGAAAGAAGGTTTAAGAAAGGAAGGACAAATAAAATCATAGCAGGTTGTTGAGTTATTTTTAAATTTTTTTCTGTCTTTATGAGATTTTGAGAATGTAATTAATTCACACTTGCAAAGTTTTGAGCAATTATAAAGATTTATAAAGAAGATCATAAAGTGATGGCAGTTGAAGCATATCCTTGGCAACAACCTCAATCTATTTCATGTTTCTTGGCATTCATAATTCGGTACATATGGAAATTATACACACACACTGTTCTACTTTGTAAAAACTAAAAATACTAAAAAAATGTAGGGAGACTGTGTGAAAAATGAAGTCCTTAAGTTAAACATTAAAAAAATATTAGTTGTTGGAAACTCTGGCATATTATACTAATAATTATATTCAAAATTCTGTTTTTAAGTTTTTTCTGGAGTATTAAGGGTGGATTTTCTATATTAGATACAATACAAACTATTTCAAGAATTTTCACAGTATTAAGTGACACACAAAACTTCTTCCATCCTTTGGTCCAATTTCCAGTGCATTTTATCCTTCATCTTATCTCCTTGTCCTCATAAGATTCTGCTCCATTTTCTACCCTGGCCTTACCATTTTCCAATATTCAGAAATCAGAGCAAAGAATTATCCTGCTTTTCTCCAAGAAACTATGGGTATAACAGCATGTGGTTTTTTTAAAGATTTTATTTATTTGTTTGACAGAGAGAGACACAGCAAGAGAGGGAACACAAGCAGGGGGAGTGGGAGAAGGAGAAGCAGGCTTCCCGCTGAGCAGGAAGCTCGATGCAGGGCTCCATCCCAGGACCCCGGGATCATGACCTGAGCCCGAGGCAGACGCTTAAGGACTGAGCCACCCAGGCGCCCCTATCATCATGTTTTTGATCTACCACAGAAACTATGGATTATGTTTATTTTAGAATCACTTTTATATGCTACATAATAAATGTCTTGCTTATGTGTGTGTTTTTTTTTTTTTTTTTTGGTCTTGCTTGTGTTTTAAGTAGATTTCAGTGCTTTTTCCTTCCATCACATTTGGAATCAGGGCCTCAAAAGAGGTGCAGGCAATAATGCTTCAAAGACAATTAGATTGCATCTTTATTTGTGAGAAAACACTTCATTTCCAAGTTTTAATTGAGTGTTCCTTCTCCGATTTGTAGTGCCTGATTCATTTTATAGCTATGGAAATTTACCCCGCCCCATTCTTTTTTTGTTGTTGTTTTAAAGATTTTATTTATTTATTTGAGAGAGAGAGAATGAGAGAGAGTACATGAGAGGGGGGACGGTCAGAGGGAGAAGCAGACTCCCTGCCAAGCAGGGAGCCGGATGCGGGACTCGATCCAGGGACTCCGGGATCATGACCCGAGCTGAAGGCAGTCGCTTAACCAACTGAGCCACCCAGGCGCCCAAACCCGCCCCATTCTTGAACACACTTCTTTACCTCCTCCATCAAATTCTTTGAATGAGACCGCATGGGCGCGGGTCTAGAGCATCCCTGCATCGTAGCAACCAGATTTCAGCTTCCTTTGTCACCATGGTGACGGCTGTGCCGGGCCAGGTGTCGCTATGGTAACTAGGGGCGGGTAGTAGGGGCCCCGGCAGGCAGGGCGCATGCGCGCGGGGAAGTCTAGCTGCGCCGCGAGCCCGCGGCCCCTCAGCTCCCCTCGTCATGGCGCTGAGGCGGCGGCCGGCGGTCCGGCTCTGCGCCCGGCTGCCCGACTTCTTCCTACTACTGCTTTTCAGGGGTGAGTGTGCGTGTTTCTGCCTTTGGGAGAGGAGGATCTGGGGCGGATGGGAGTTGAGCGGAGCGGCTGGAATCGGTCCAGGCGGGAATAGCGGTCCCGGCTCCAGGCAAGCGGGGGACTCGGCCGGAGGAGCAGCGCGCGCCCGCGTCCCGGCGGAAAGGGGTCGATGCGGGGCCTCCAGGCGGGGTCCCAGCCGGGTGGGCGCGGGGGTGTGAGGGGCCCGTGAGAGGCCCGGGTAGCTCGTTCCGGGCGGTGGGCTGGTCCCCGGGCAGAGGGTACATCTCTCTGGAAAGACGGTGGCAGCTTAGGCGTGGGCTCGGAACTTGCTAGAAGACACTGCGGAGCGAGCGCCTTGCCCAGAAGTGGATAGTGAGGGGCCTTCCGAAGTACCAGCGAGGCACAGCTCTGAGGCCTATCTGTCTTCTTGGTCATAGCCTTCTGGGGGTCTGCTGTTCATTTCTCTCTTGCTGTAAACAAAGGAACTGAATTGGGCAAACCCAGCTTTACTTTGGGGGAAATAAAATGGCACAGATCTCAATCAAGTATCCTTTTTGTCTCCAGCCTGGCCTAGGAGACCCCACAGACCTTTACCCTGAAATAGCATCTGGGCCATTTTGATCAGGTCACACTGACAAACTTGGGAGTTTATTCTTTTCCACTGTCTGGAATTCTCTTAAATTTGTGTGTCCCAGGACAGTTGGACAGGACTGAAGTAGATTGTATTTAGTGAGCATGTACTGTTTAGTAGGCACTTTGAAATCTTTATCTCATTTAGTGCTTACAAGAACTTTGTGAGGTGGATTTTATTAACCCATTTCCAGGTAAGAGAACTAAGACTTAAGTCAAGTCTCCTTTCCAAGACAGTGTTCCAGGTGAGTTCTAAACTCGCGTTTCCATAAAGCACTACCACACTTCTGTGGTGGACATCTGCAGGTAACCAGATCCGTAGAACCATCCGAAGGTCTTTTCAGTCCTTAGGTCATTTTATTGTTTGGCTGAGTTGCCGTTGTCATCCCATGATGTTTTCCAAAATATACAAATTAAAGCACAAAGTGACTGGGAGTGGGGGTGGACAGACTAGGAAAACAAAGCACTCCTGTGTTTGATGTTCATTCTTGTGGAATGTTCATAATGGTGGTAGATAAAAGTGAGGGTCTGAGGAGCTGTGGAAACAGGACTCTATGATGAGGGATCAGTTTCAGGGTATAGATGTTGTCCATATACTTTGCCTGAAAGTGATTTCCAAAAACATGTGGTTGGGAGATATAAATGATCAAAGGCTAGCCAGGGGACAAGGGTGTCAGGAATGTCCAGCTCCCGGCTTTGTTGGTCACATTGACACTGTCCTATTCACAGATTGGAACAACTCTCTATTGTTGAAAAGTTCTGTTCACATGAAAGTTTGCAGTTTTTATTGCAGACACATTTGGCAATTTAGTTTAGGAATGAATTTCAACTTGGTGGCTTGTTAATAAAACTAAAGAAGATGCTAAGGACCTCGCATACCCTTAACTTTATTTTGCTCTCCTGGAGGTGCAGGTTTTGTGGCTTTCTTGATATTAAGGGCTGGGATTTACCTGCAGAGCATAGGAGGAAGCATAAAATTTTGCAAAGTAGGGCTGATGACAATCAGTTTGAGAGGATGCAGCTTTTTTTTTTTAAGTAGGGAGCTCTTTTTCTGTTATTTTGTATGTACTCTAAACATACTGTAATACCTTGAAAACTTTATTCTTTCACAGGTCATGATAGCTGTGTCTTTTTTATTTATATGATTATTCTTTTCAATTACTATTATTTTTCAGCATTGTCATCTAAAAAATTTGTTCCTGATATAACACTTTTTTTTATTAGCCTTTGCCAGGCTCTGTTATAACAATTTAATATGTATTCATTTCATGTTGATAACAACTCTCAGAGGTTGTTACTATTATTTTGCCCATTTTGTGGATGAAGAAACAAGTACAGAGAGATTCAGTAACTTGCTCAGGGTGATAAACCCATGCATTTTAAATTTAGAAATCTTGAACTATTTTTGTTAATCTAATTTCTGGTTACTTGTATTGCATTTGACAGTGGATTTCTTGTTATGCACCAGTTTAACAAATTATCAAATGTTCAAAGCTGTGTGGTTTGTATATAAAATATTCTTTTGTTGTATTGGTGACAGGTGCAGTTCAGCCTTACAAATGTTACACCACATGTCTTTTTTGAATGATTATGTAGTAATTACTTTTTGGTTTCCAAATCTTTTGATGTCCTAGAGAGAAGTGCTTCATTTAGAATTAAAACAGTAACAGTTTGTATTCTTGGGATAAGACAACTTGTGTGCTGAAGTTTAGCAAAATCTGAAAATTAAAACTTCCAGGAAAATTTTTGAAAAATATTCTAAAACATTTTTTAGAATGATTTATTTTATATTGTTTTAATTCTTTTTAAATTATCTGGCAGATATAATCACTATCAGACGTGTGTGTGTGTGTGTGTTCAGAAAAACAAAGAACACCTGCCCTGTGGCATGCAGTTCCTCAAATCAGCTGTTCATTCCCAAAAGACTTGTTGATAGGCATTTCTTCTTGAGTGCTTCAGGCTGCCGAGACTGAATGGATAGCTATTAGAAATACTTATGAATCCTAAGTAATTGCAGTATTACATCCAGACAAAATTATCCTCCCCCCAGCCCCTAAGGTCTATGTAACTTGCTCTTAAGGAGGCCCAGTAGGCTAGGCTTAGAAGAGTTTCTTTGAAAGAAACCATATTTGTAATTAAGCACACTTTCTGACATGGACATATAATGTAACTGAAGGAGCTATGGATTTAGTATATCCAGCTAGCAGCTGTTAGAGATGTGATATTGGCAGATTCCTTCTCCATAAATTCTTTGAATTTTTTCAAAGCACAAGTGGGGTAAAAGAAAAGAAAATATGCGTGTGAATGAAGTTAGATGTATGGAGTCTGTTGAATGAGACACTTCATGAAGCTGGATTCCCTTTTTAAGTTATGTTTAGAATCAGGTGGTGTGAGTGTGATGGTGTTAGGGTTGAATACAGATTTCAGATCTTCTTTCTCTACCCTCTGAATGCTAACCATATATGCAAATAGCTTCACTGGAGTATAAAGAGATCCTGAAAGAACGTTTTGGTAAGCACATTCTTTTACACCTAGTTTAGCAAGGACAGTATCCACTATGGTACTGTATGTGGAGATCTAAAGCCTTAATTTACTGCCTCTTTGCCACTTGTCATGATATACAGAAAGCTTCCTGAGAATTAGCCTTTGTTTCTGATTTAAAGGAATGCTGTAGTATTTTGTGTTCATGTGTTTTCTTTGTTTTTAGGTAGTATCTATTATGTTATATATTGTATTTCCCATGAGTAGTTAGTGTATATTCAACAGGGGTTTCAATGCTGATTGTGTAGAAACATCAAACTGTTTAATAAATTAAGACTATACAAACACTTTTTTCTTATGTTATCTTTCATTTTCACAGAATCCCAAAGCTTCTATGGTTCAGCCTTCTTTCTGTAAATTATTGCCAGAGTCACATTCTGCTATATTCATGCCGCTACTCTGCCTAACCTAACCTCAGCTCGCAGTGACCTTTCCTATTTCCATAGAAGCATAGCTCTTCGTTTGTAGTTCAGTTTAGTCCAACAGTCATTTCTTGAGTATCTGTTATATGCCAGGCACTGTTTTTCATGCTAGAGCTGCAGAAATGAATAAAATATCCCCAGCTCTAGAAAAGCCAGGACCGTTGTATGCTAGGTTTCAATTATTGGGTGTAAATATATTTTATCTTCTCAGTGGTATTAAAAATTCATTGGGAACAGAGGCTGAATTTAATTTCTTTTGTATCTTTCCAGATATGACTATAGTAAATATTCTCTTTGTCACTTGCAAGTCAGTTAACTGTCTTAAAAACTTCCTATGTGTCTAGGCATTTTTCATGTATTTTAGCTCTAGTGGCCCCAGGAACTTTGGAAATTCTCAGTTTTTACTAAAGTAGTTTCTGTGAAAGAAAGCAAATGGTATTTCTTGGTTTAATTAAAAATCTTTACCATCTATGCAGTTACACAAAGTTAAGAAGAAAAAAAGTGGGGAAATGCTTATGGTATAATTTAAGTCACACAAGCTGCAGATGGGACTAGCATATACTGTATGATTACAGGTAGGCAAAACTTGCAAAACTAATCTTATGCTTAGGGGAAAAAATGGAAATACAATGAACCAAAATGTTGATACGTGCTGTTTTTGAGTGGTAAGTCTTATGGCTGATTGTTTTCTACTCTTTTTCTGGCTGATTCTTTTGTCTTTTTTCCAAGTTTTCTTTAATTTCTTTAAATGTTTTTTATATAATGAAAAAAAATTGCATTTTGTCTTGGCCTCTAATAGATACAAAAGTGGAATTTTAAATTTGACACCAGTAAAGATTTTCTTTTAAAATGAAAAACTGTTTAGTTCAATGTGATAGCATGTTGCTTGTGCTCTTTAATTAACATCAGCCACAGAAAATGAAGGAGGGGCTGACTTGATTCAGTTGTTTGATCATGCATTGTTTGTGACTCATTTGAGAGATTTGCTGTCACTGGCTTTTGGGTTAGGGAGCCAGCTGTGGCATCCTCAGCAAATGGTTAACTGGAAAACTGAAAGAGAGCTGATGAGAAAATCTGCCTCTCTCCTTTTTTTTTTTGAACAAACAAAATAATCTGAGTAGTTGCTGTGGTTTGCCTGTTCAGAGTCAGCCAGCATTTATTGAACACCTCCTTTGTGCCAACTGGGCAACTCCTGGAGGACTGTTTTCTTTGTCTTGGGTGAGAGGAACACCAGGTCAAATTGACTTCCTTGGAAAATAGACTCTGAAAGATGTTTCCTGAAGTGGGCTGTCAGCTCATGTACCCTTATCACTTCTTCCTGCCCACCATGGACTTCCTTGTTTGATGTCTTTCTCTAAGGAAAATACATAATGTCTTTAGAATGAGGTGCAGCTGTCTGGAGGGTTACAA